CTGAGGAAGAAGATGTGATGGCTTTTCGACAATGGCTTCGTCAGAGAACACGTGAAGATCGACATCGACCAGCTGCCGCACCTCGAGAACGGAGGCGAAGAGGTGAAGATGATGACGATCCGGATGACGGAGACCGAGCAAATGCCGGACCGCCTCCGACCTGGGATGGAGGACTACCTCATCCGAGCGAGGCTATGGGTGAGCACTACGAAGGCCAAAGCCCGTACCCGCGGACCCCTTCTCTTGAAGGCTTTGGCAGACACCCCGTTTCAGGACTTCAAGTGCTTGGCCAAGGATCCTACATGGCTGACCAGCCCAGACAACGCCGAACAGCTCCTGAAGTTGATGGATACGCCAGAGTATTATGGAGAAGACCAAGAAGAACACTTGCTGGCATCGCTTTCGAGGGTGACCTACCACCTCAAGAGGCAGAAGAATGAGAGTGCGCGGCAATTCCTAGCCCGCTGGGAAATGGCCGAGCGCAAGGTCTCCGAGCACAAGGTGGTCCTCCCCGATGTCTACAGAGGTTTTCTCCTCATTAATGCCTTGTCTCTCAGCGACTCCGAGATCAAGACGCTTCTCACCTTCACCCACGGCTCGATTCAGCCCAAGGACATTAAGCACTGGCTTCGGAAGCACGAGACGAAGCTCCAGGCCAGTCAGTTAGGACTGGAAGGTCAGGACCGGAAGGCCAAGGCTTCAGCCACTGCGACTCCAGCGGTGAACCTTGTCGAGGGCGAACTTGACGACCTTGATGAGGACCTGGAGCCCCGTGACGGTGACATTGCAGAGATGGAGGCCCTCCTGACAGACCTCCAGTCGGGCAATGGGGGTGCTGACGAGATCGGCGTCTTCGACGAGGATGAAGCTGCGGAAATTCTCGCTGTGATGATAAAAGAAAAACGCAAATCATATACTCAATCCGCTCAGCTCAAGAAAGACAAGGAGTTGGGACGCGGATTTCGTCAAGGTGCTCCTCCTCGAGACGGGCTTCTTCGAACCGGAAGCTATCGACTGACGATAGCTGAACTCAAACAGAGGACCAGATGTAGAAAATGTGGCAAGTTGGGGCATTGGCAGCGAGAATGCCCGGGTGGTTCCTCAGCGGCTTCTTCGGGCTCGAAGGAGACACACTTCATTGAGGTGGACCTCGACGATGGCGGTGACGCGCTGTTTTGCCACTTTCTTCAGGAGACTGAGCAAGAGTCCAGTCATGAGCCAAAAGGCAGCAATGAAGTTTCTGTAGGATCGGATTTTGAAATCTCAAGTCCTGCGCCGTGGTACAAGGAACTTAGTGTGTTCGATGTCTTGTATCATGAAACTCCCACCGTGGTTCCTGAGGAAGCCTGTGCCACGCTGGACACTGGCTGTCAGCGTACTGTCGTTGGCAAGAAAACTCTCGAAAGGATGATTTCCCACTGGCCCAAAGAACTGAAATGGTTCAAACAGAAGGAAACAAACCGTTTTCGATCGGTTCATGGGGTTTCGCAAGCTGAGTACAATGCGGTGGTTCCTTGCGGGCTTGGGAAACGGGGCTGTTATCTGAAACCCGCTGTCTTTGAAGGAAACCATAGTGAGAACGCTCCTTTTCTCCTCTCACTCAAGTTCCTCCTTCATGCTGAAGCTGTGCTGCATCTGAAGCCTCATGGACTTGTTTTGCATTTGACCAAGCATGATTGCAGTGTGCCTATGCATCTAGGACCGTCTGGTGCTTTGCGTGTCCAGGTTAACCGTTTCAGTAAGGACGTGATCAGGAATTTGCAACAGGCCGAGAGGAAGCTCCCTTTGATGTCTGACCGCGAGTTCGAAATCCTGAGCGTTGGCAGCCTTCGTGACTCAAGCAGCCACCCCGACTCCTTCGATTGTGACCTCAAGCATCATGGACTCTCCGGTGAGCCACAAGCGAGCCCGGGCGTCCCACCACAACGAGGGTCGGGCTCTTCGCAGCTGGCGCTTCCTGGCGATGAGGGTCCTTTGGGTCCTCCGTCCGGTGACGCGCGTGGTCTCCCGGCTTGTCAAAAACTCGGTAGACCTTTCGGTGAGTCATGTCATCGACAACATCCACGAGTTGAGCGAAGACAACTTCACGCGACTTCAGGAAGTGGTGGAGTTCCATCACTGGAAGAAGTATGTCAAGGGCCCGGGACCATCGGCGAGACCAGCACCATCATCCATCGGGAGCTACGAGGTGCTCGAGGAACCGACGACCCCGACTCCGAAGCCAACGCGGACAACAACGAAGACTTCCTCTCCGGGACCGTCGACATCAACGCCAAGCAAGACGCATGCTCGTCCGGCCGGGCCACCAGCACCTCCGCCACCGACGAATGCGGCCTACCAAGCGCCAGCGACTGTCCCGATCTTCGACCACACGCTGACCATGCGGGACAACCTGGAGGACGGAACAAAAGATCCCTACACCCCAAACGACGCCTAAAAGCACCTTTTGCTGCGAAAATAAGGTACAGACAGAAAAGGTGACCCATATATATATATATATTATAGACTTTAGAGGATATTAAAGAACCCAGCAAGAAATACTCATGAATAAGATGCTCCATAGTAAGCTTTGGAAAAACTATCTTTTAATTTTTTGTGGTTTGACTTGGCATGCGCATCATGACATGACATGTTGGTTGTGGTTTGACATGGCATGACCTGGCATGACGTGACATAACACGGCATGACATGGCATGACACAGCATGACACATCGGCATGGGGCTGCATGTCCTGACAAGGTTTGAACACGTGATTGCGTGACACGGACTATAAGCAAACAAGATTTACGGGATTTTGCGTGCTTCACTTTACAGTTTGAACTGACGTGTCCATGGCGCTGCAGCAGACATCGCACACGCAATTAACTGATTGTTTTTCAAACTAAGGGCGCCAAAGTTGCTTTCGCAGTGATTAAACTGCGCTGCAAGACGGCGAGGCTGGCTGAGCCAAAGCGCACACCTCTTTGAACACGGAGGCTGTTTTCCACAAAAAGTCCGGCGTGCGTAAAATGTGGGGTGTGCAAAACAAGTTCAAAGTAGCAGGGCGCAAGCATTCATGTTGGGAAGTCCTCCCATATCGACAAGCGAAGCTGTCGAGTCTGCGCAAACAAGCACGTAGCGCCAGGAATACGCAAAGCAGGACATGCCAGCACATGTGGAACAGCAAGCTGCGCAAAGCAGTATGCATGTGCCATGTACTAATCCAACACCTTCGGTTACCGATACATCCCGAACCAAAGATGTTGAGTTTAACCCACATTTCTTGCGGAGTCTATGAAGAACAACAGGCAACCTATGGAGATTGCATTGCCCGCGTGACTGAGCTGAAAAATCGTTTTTGGAGCCTGGCGCAGCGTCGACAGCTCAGCATCTGTGAATCGGAACAAAGCCTGGTCTGAGAATTGCCGCGCATTATGCGCGCGCCACAGCGTCCTCAACTTCGAAAAAGATTTTTTAGATAATATGTACACGCCTACGTTTTTTCCTAAAATCCAAGGAAGTATGTCGGGACATCGCAAAAAACAGTTTCGCAGATTTTCCCGGATTTTCCCGGTTTATAAGGGTCATTTCCTCACTTTTCCCGGAATATAAGGGTCATTTCTCGGATTTTCCCGCTGCCTCCGGCGCGGGAAATTGGTATGCGACTCTGCGAGCCACTGAAAACGCTACCCGGTTTTTTAGGGGTTTAGGGTTTCGAGGTTTAGGGCTTATTGCTTTCGGGTTTAGGAGCTTAGGGGCTTAGGGTTCAGCTGTATAGGGGTTTAGGGTTTAGGAGGTTAGGGTTTAAGCCTCTTTTTTTTTGGTTTAGGGCTTCGGCTTTAGGAGTTTTGGGGTGTAAGGTTCCGTATTAAACATTGGGATTTGCGCGTCTGTACAGTAGGCCAGGCGCGACCCTCAAAGCCTTATATCTTCAAACGTTTCATACAACCTTGATGGAGTCATCAAACCGTGTCTGCTTGACAGTCCGGAACACATAGTTGCGCAACGAAGCCTGCAGCGCCAGCAACATATCCAAGTAAGAGATTTTCCAGTACACTTGAGCGAAGAAGGTTGCTTCTGCCGCAGCTCACAGTATTGCTGCCACAGCTCAAAAAACAGCAGCTTTGAAAAGAGAAGTTCTTAGCGCGCGCAATTGGGATAAATCATGTGGCACATTGCCCAAGCAAGATCAAGCAACATGAGCATTATCATGGATAGCCAAGCATGCAAAGCAGGTCATGCCGGGAAAATCAAAACATGACAGATGCTATGGTCGCACCATCAGTGCCGTGCACCATGTCATGGACCATGCTATTTTCACGCCATGCCATGCCACACATGCACGCCACGCCCATACCATGCCTATAGACCATGTTTATAGGACCCCGAAAAATTTTGAAAACAAATTCCCAAGTGTTTTGAATCTCAAAGCGCTACACATGTTTGATTTTTTCAAAACAACAAATGTTGATTGCAACAGCAAAAAGCAGGACGAGGAAAGGGCTGATGTTAAAGTACATATGTTTAAGGCACTAGATCAAGCAATGGGGCATACATGGACCCTTGTTTGATGCGCTGCTTCGACAGGCGAGCGGGCATTTCGAGGTACATTTGCCAGACAGGCGGGAATTTAAGGTACATTTGCCAGGCGGGCGAGAATTTAAGGTACATTTGCCAGGCGGCCGAGAATTTAAGGTACATTTGCCAGGCGGCCGAGAGTGGGAGAATTTAGGGTACATTTCCCTAGGGGAATATAAGGTACATGAAACGACCCTTAAATTCCAAACGCACATCACGGGATTTTTTAAAGGTCATTTGGTCCTCCAGGAACAGCACCGACAAGGCCAAGCAGGCGTTCGTCTACTCCAAAAACGGCCGCTATCTGCTCGGGGATCCTCCGG